AAATAACTTCATTTTTAGCGCCGGTTCTAATGGAGGATACTAGTATCTGCACACCGCAGAATCTGAGTCAGCACTGAAAGCAATCACTTCCTTCTCCCAAGCTCAGCCTTAGAAGCTGGCTAAATGGCGCTGATGTCAGAAAATGAATACCACATTCGTGATCAGGCCTCAAAGAACCCCATTAGAGTGTGGCGCCAAGGGTAAAAATTACTGTCATGTTCGTAATCAGGACATTGAATATAGGCACAATTCAGCAAAATTTTTTTCTCGACTTTTAGGGGTGCGCGCCTGGCAACGCTACAACATGCTGCCTTTACTCAGCGCTGCCTGAGCTCCATAGGGTTCGCCGTGCTATGTGCGCGATGGTTAGGCTGTTTTTCACGGGGGGGGGGACCATGTTTAAGGTTATTGTGTTTCAATGTTCTGTTACGACTTGTTCTCTCCACATCACAAGTACGTACTGCAATGTTTATTGTGTACAGAGTGAACATCGAGTACAAGCGCTGCCTGAGCTCTTGATGATTTTGGTTACATGGTTCTAGTTCATCTGGGCATATAGTTAGAAAGCCTATACAAATACATAAATATGAGGAGCAGTTAATGGTTAGGCTTGTTTCGATTGTTCGACATGAAATATACTTTATTTGCCGGCCACCGGTGCTGCTGGTCGTTGCTCAAAGTTCTTGTTAATGCGGCAAGTCTTCGCACCCGCAAGATCATCGTCCTGAACGAGAATTCTGATGGAGGTGCACATCATCGTCTTTTTCGTGAACAGTTCATGCTGATCATATGGGCGGAGTCAAACCCGCCATTGTGTTCCCCTAGTAGAGCATTCGATGTACTTACAACACGGTAAAAAGGAGGCGCTACTGTGGAGGGCACAGTGGTAGGGCTGACCTTCCTATGCGACCAGCGATGACTATGCCTTCGGACGGCAGGGTACAGCATCGTGATGCGTGAAATGGTGGTGTCAGTACGACTCCCCCCCCCCCTCTTCCCCAACACCTACCTACCAATTTCCCACATTTTCCAGTTTTTCACCGAAGTTTCCCGTCGAGCGGGGGGAGGGGGTATAGCCAATGTTGAAACGGGAAAGTTTCTCGGGTTTTCCCAACTTCCTACCACCTGCTCCTGGAACTTTCTCGGAACTTTTACTGTTTTTCCCTAAAAACCTTGCTGTCGAGCTGGGGGGGGAGGGGATAGTACACATAAAACAGGAAAAAAACGCACGAAAAGTCAAAAAGTCAACAACCCCTCTCCAGGGGAAAGTACGACCCCCTATGTGTTTCACGCAACGACACAGTACCCTGTTGGACGAGATAAGATAGAATAACCGTATTCTTTCCAAAGATTTGTAACTTACCACGGCAGCTAGCTGCTTCTGCTGTGTAGCAGTCAGAGCATTGGGACCCTTGGGTGGTGGTGGTGGTGGTGCCGATTTCGGAGCTGTAGCTGGAGGTGCCGATTTCGGAGGTTGGGTTTGAGTAGACTTGGCAGTATTCGATGGCGGCTGGGCAAGTTTGATAGGAGGACCACTTGTTGACGGCGGCTTCTGACCGGCCTGACCGGGTTTCTGCCCAGCTGAACACATACTACACATTAACTGATATTTTTGAGTGAGAAGACATTGCTCACGCACGTTGAGTTACAACAGTGGCATCTGCATCGTCATCGTCGTCGTCGCCACTCAATGAATCGTGCTTCTGATCACGATACATCACCATCACCAGTTTCTTCTGCAATGGTTCAGTGCATTGGTCTATTGAACTATTAGGTTTTGAAAAGGGCCTGCGACACTTTGACCAGACTGCTTCAGAAAAAAATCAAAAAAGTTCTGAGTATATTTACTCCGATAAGATGTGAGTACTCTTTGAGGTTCTTGAAGGCGGGTATATTATGACTTGTTAATTTTTCTAAGCTCAGAAGTCCCCCCCCCCAAAGGCCCTGAACTTCACGCATTATCTCTGCGTCGCCGCTTTGCTAGTTACCGCACCACTTACCGGTGGAGCCTGAACCACCTCCTTCTTTATGATAATGTTTTCCACAATTTTCTCCTTTTGCACAGCACCCTGAAATTTTTTCACATGAGCAGTATGGCACGAATACCATGAACTACACGACGCTAAAGTGGCATTACCGTCGCCTTGGCCTTATCTTCACCATCTGGATCTCCCTCACTGATACCCTTCTTTTTTTTCTCCTCGGCCTTCTCATCTTCATCATCCTCCTCTTGATCATTTATACCAAAGAACAGTATTTTAAACCTCTTTTTCCCCAGTTCACTTTCAATGAGCTTCTGAAAAAATGTCTCATTTTTCGACAAAATCTTTGTTATAATATTAAGTACCGTGGGGTTCATGCGCACAAACGTTGATGGTCGCTGGTGATCGCTGGTGGATGCTGCCCATGGTTTGACCTAACGTCTTAAAGGGGCAATCCTTGCGAAGCATGGGCAGGATCATGCAAACAATTGAACAGCCTTTTTCATTTGCGTGCCTCTCTCCTCAGACTCCTGAGAATGTGCAGAGAAGGGGCTCTGTCGCGAGGGAGGGACGATGATTAACTGCTTCCACCTACATGACTAGCGTAGGCTGCACCTCTGAATGCGTGCTATTGCAACAGAGAAAACCGACCTCTTGATATTTGTGTGACTTCCAAATTTTTTCGGTATCCACACATGCTGAAGGTGCAATAGCAGCGACAATAGTAAATCTGAAATCCAAGAGAAGCCCGCAGATGATATTGCTCAGCCAACGACCTTATTCTAAGAGTTGTTTGGACCCTGTTGGTGATGGTGACATGCATAGAATTTAGAGGAGTCGGCTTTTCTGGCATCGCTATGGAAGGGTTTTCTTGGATTTCAGATTTACTATTGTCGCTGCTATTGCACCTTCAGCATGTGTGGATACCGAAAAAATTTGGAAGTCACACAAATACCAAGAGGTCGGTTTTCTCTGTTGCAATAGCAGCGACAATAGTAAATCTGAAATCCAAGAGAAGCCCGCAGATGGTATTGCTCAGCCAACGACCTTATTCTAAGAGTTTTTTGGACCCTGTCGGTGATGGTGACATGCATAGAATTTAGGGGAGTCGGCTTTTCTAGTATTGCTATGGAAGGGTTTTCTTGGATAACGGATTGGAACGAAATCTGCAGAGACACTCAGTGTGAAATTACACCCGTCGTGGATCCTAATCCCTGCCATGGGTGAGATGAGTG